TTAACCTCTGCACTTGGGAGACTGGGGACATCTTATTGTGAGTTCCTCCTGTCCCACAGAGAGGAAGATGAGGAATGGGGAATGGATGGGGGGGGCTTTGAGATACCTAGAACACACTCACAGCTTTCGTGGTGTGGACTCATCTTTGTCTAAGAAGGTGACTAGTCAGGCTTGAGTCTTATGTTTTTGGTTGTGAGCCTAGCCTTTAACGACTGAGCCATCTCTCCAGCCCCCTGAGTCTTATTCTTGAGTGATCATAAGAAGTATAGCTTTGTTCACATAGAGGACGAATGGGCATCCATGTAGTGGAGTTGCGTTCCACACAGGAAGTATGTGTCCATACATTCAACGCTCTCCCTATTTGAAACTCCAGTGGGCTGGGGAAATAGCTCAGTAAGTGAAATACTTGCCAGAGGTCCCGAGTTCAACCTTCAGTGCCATATAAAAAAAGCATTGACCCTGGCACGTGCCCATAATCCCAGTACCAGGGAGGCCGAGATTGGTGTGTCTCTGAGGCTTACTGGCCAGCCAGCCTGGCCTGCTTGCCAAATTCCAGGCTAGTGAGAGAGCCTACCTACAAAAATGAGCTGGAGTCTGAGGAAATAGAGGCAAAGCTGTCTTCTGGCCTCTGCCCATACGTGTGTGTGTGTGTGTGTGCATGCACGCACACTCACACACACATCCTTTCACAGATGAACACACACACACACACACACAATCGTGTACAGATTTCTCACAGGGACTTGGGCCTGCTGGGGAACAGATGCGGCTCCCACCCACATCTCCATCTGGCAGCTCCAGCTGCTCTGGCTCTGATGGGCTGACAGCCAGCCATATTTTTCTAATTAATTCTTACTCTTCCTGCTCTGCTCTCCTCATACCTGTCAGTGTGTATATCTAAGCATTTTCTTCCGTGGCACCTATCACAGAGTTATATGTGTTTTCAGAGGGTTTGGTCTGGCAGACACTATCAGTGACTCCAGCTAATTAAAAATATTCACACAACACACAATATCTAATGAAGTATAATTAGAAACAGATTTTGATTACATCTTAGAGCCCCTGGAAAGACTTGTCATGTCCAGGAAAGTTTTAGGATTTATAATCCTAATTAGGGGGTTAGCCATGTAATAAAAATACCTGTGAGTAAAGGTGGCTCACTTTTGAGAAGTCGTTTTCTCTAGACAGAGGTCTCCCAAAGCAAAGTGCATGGGCAGCGGCCATCTCCTCTCCCACTCATTTGTTAGGGACTTGGATGCCTACTCTCTGGTGACATGCCCTTAACACGGCAGTAGTTCTAACTCAGAGGCAAAAGAGGAACACTTCTTTATAAGAAGTTTAATATGACCCTTATTACACGCTGCAGGCATGGAGAATGGCTGGGCATAGCAGGATCATTAGCTGATTGTTAACTGTGGGGATTTACCCTGCTGTGTATACACCACAGATCCCAGAAGGTTTCTAGCTTGATGGCATTTAATCATGGTTTTGACCTGAAAATGTTGTTTTCATAGTTAATGCTCATGTAAACAAGATAAAACAAATGCTTCCCATGAGCCCTTTAAACAATCTGTGGCAATCTAACTCAGCATTGTCTGTTTGATTTCAAATTAATTGTCTCTATTATTTTGACAGAGCAGAGAACCTAATTCAGGCCACGTTTGTAGAGTCTGTTTATTCTTTAGTTTAATTTGTTGTTGTCATGAGGTACTGGGAAATGAACCAAGAGCTTTGTGCATGCTGGGAATGTGTCCTAGCACAGAGACGTGTCACCAGCCCTTAAAATGTTTGGTAACTGTTGTGTGAACACTTGGCTTGCTTTAACTCAAATACATTTTGCTCAGTTGCAGGGTTAATCTTCTTTTATAGCTTCAAGGTCATGGTTTAACCACAGGCTACAGTTTACATCTCAGCCTGGAAAGTTGTGTATTTTACCTGGAATTCATATGGTGTAGTTTGTGTAAAGATAGGACACGAGGTCAAAAACAGTGGTGTAGATTGGGGAACAGAATAATCTAACACTGTAGGATGCTGGGGTTTCTTCTGCTACCTCTCCGTGTGCCTCTGTAGAAGAGTAAGTAGGACAGCGGCTCACAGGTGGACCCTGGGTGGGCACGTGTTGCTGTGAGCGCACGCACTCACATAGGAGACAAACTCATCGTTGATGTCCCATGGGCATCATCAGGAAAGTATCCCCCTAGTGTTCCCTTGCATGCCACACCATTTAAAAACCATTTTATTATTGTTGTTTTCAATCATGTGTGTCTCCGTGTGTCTTGGTTTGTGCACATGCATGCAGACCACGCAGGCCAGAAGAGGGCAACATGGCTCTGAGACCTGAACTCAGATGCTCTGGAAATATGTACACACGACCACTCAGCCACTTCTCCAGCCCTGTCTGCCGTAACCTTACAACTATCCCTAGACGGTGGCTGCCACCTAACGCATCCGGCTCATGCCGGGGCGGTCAGTGCATGGCGTAAGCAGAGGGGAAGCTGGCTGCAGTGTGTTGTGAGGAAGGAAAGGGAAGAGCTGTAAGGTTGGTTGGGGAGTGGTCCTGAAGCAGCTCCATCCCGAGTTCAGTTGCTCGAATGTTCAAAGCAAATGCTGCCCATGTGGGAAAGAACAGAAGTCTGCGGGGTTTAGCCATGGAGGAAGATTAAGTATCTATAAAAGCATGTGTTGCTCGGCAGTGTGGAGGCTGCCCGTCCCTCAGGAGTCCCGGTGCGGTGTGGCGTGCTTCAACGGGAAATCGATGGGGCAGTAGGAGTCTGTTTTAGGATCTGGGCAGCCAGCGGTGCACTACGTCAGGAGGATTGCTCCCCGCTGCCAGCCTTCCTAAGCCTTCAGCTGGGACTTGTACTTCAGTTGGTACCAGACTCTGTGCTGGCTGCAGAAATTGCTTGTTTTAAAGAAATGTTTAATGGTGTTGTTTGGTGGGGAATTTCCAACAGTCGGGTCTAGTGTTTTCCTCATTCTGTGTAAGGAAGTCTGATCTTGTTTCTCTCCCTCTCTCTCTTCCATTACCCTTCCCCGCTCTCCCTCTCCCCTTCCTTCCTCACTCAGTTTTCTCTTCTTTTCCATCTCTCCCCCCCCCTCTCTCTTGCTCTCCTGCTCACTTCACCTCTGTCTCTCTAGCCTCCCTGTCTCCCTATTCTCTCCCTCCTCTCCTCTTTCTCCTCCCCTCCCCTTCCCTTCCCTCCCCTCTCCCCTCCCTCCCCTCTCCTGCTCTCCCTCCCCTCTCCTCCTCTCCTCATCCCTCCCCTCCAGTCCCCTCCCCTCCTCTCCTCTCCCTGCAGAAATAAGAAAGGTTGACCTGGAATTCTATGAGAAGGGCTGGGCAAATGACAGGGAACTTCCCCTTTGTGTGTATGCATATCTGTGTATGTGTGTGTGTATGTACAAGTGTGTTCATGTGTGTATATGTACAAGTGTGCATTTGTGAGACAGGCAGGGAACAGCAGTGAGTGTTAAGGGGGATTTGCTCGGTGGCTGGAATCTCCATGCATTTCCCCCTCTGCTGGACCTGCCCTGGTGTGGCCCCTCCTCGTACCCTTCATCTTATGGTCTGTCTTCACCATTGACACTCTACAGTTGGACTCCTTCTCCGAGTCTTCACTGTTGACACTCTACAGTTGGACTCCTTCTCCGAGTCTTCACCGTTGACACTCTACAGCTAGAATCTTCTCTAAGTCTTCACCATCCTCACTGTTGACACTCTACAGCTAGAATCTTCTAAGTCTTCACTGTTGACACTCTACAGTTAGAATCTTTTCTTTAAATCTTTACCATTGACACTCAACAGTTAGACTCTTCTCTCTGAGTCTCCACCGTTGACACTCTACAGTTTGAATCTTCTCTGAGTCTTCACCATTGACACTCTACAGTTAAGATCTTCTCTAGGTCTTCACTATTGACACTCTCCAGTTAGAATCTTCTCTGAGTTTTCACTGTTGACACTCTCCAGTTAGAATCTTCTAAGTCTTTACCATTGACACTCTGCGGTTAGAATCTTCTCTAAGTCTTTACCATTGACACTCTACAGTCAGAGACCCTTCTTTCTTGAGAGGATCCTTTATGTTTCTCCAACATTTTCCTCTGGGTGACAACAGCTGCATCAGACATATGAGTTTGCTAGTTAGAGGGAGGAGGAACTTCCTCTCCTATGACTCAGGTGGCTTCTTGAGTAGCTCTGATAACCCCAGTGTAGTTTCCAGTGAAGCCAGGGCCACTGGACAGACCTGTGCCAAGTCCAATCTTTCATGGGCCAATTTTTCCCCAATGGTCTAGTTACTGCTTTACTCGGTCTGGTAGAAATGCTGCAGAACTTCCATTTTCCTCATGACAAGCATCCTGATTGCCCAGAGTTATGGCTACACAAGTCTGTTACGATCCATATGTCCCTGGGTCTTAGGAAAAAAGATGGGCACTATGGACCACCTTCCAAGGAAGGTATATATATATATCCTTTAACTTTTCCACCATTCCTGCTGTCAGATGTTTGATCACATGCAGTTTTATGGGCACACACATACACATGTAAACACACACAATAACCCTCTAATTAAGTTAATAGCTTGGCAGGATTTTGCTGTGTGTTTTCTGTCTGAGTTTTTATTTTCTTTGGCGTCCAGGAAGGTAAAGATCTGTGTGCTTGTTAAGGTGCTTTTCGGTATCGATGTTGAAATGAAGTCCATCTCAAACATGAATCACCAGGAAATCAAATAGGGGTCTTGAAGGTTCAGTGATCACACATTGCTAATTGGTCTGAAGAACTGAAATAGCTTCCGTAGCTTTTAACCTGAAAGTGTGTGAAACGATCGCATGACAGAGTTTGAAGATTTAGGCCTTTCTTTCATTTGCTTTTCTTTCTTTAAAATATTTTTTTCTTCCATGTTTATTAGTGTGTTTGGCCAATGTTTAAACACTTTAACCAAATTGAGAGAGAAATTCTTCACATCTTTTTTTTTTTTTTTTTTTTTTTTCCCTTTTCATTTCAGCCAAAAATCGTGGGATTGCAATCCCAGTCGATTTGGATGGCCAGGTTAACACACTCTTCATGAAGACCCATTCAAGCACGGTGCAGAGGGCGGCCATGGGCTGGAGGCTCTCCGCTCGCTCTGGACCTCGCTTCAAGGAAGCTCTTGGAGGGCCGGCATGGGATTACAGAAACATTATCGAGAAGTTACAGGTACAATGAGAGCATGATGTGCCGTTACTCTTTTCCAGCTTCTGTATTCTTAAAATGTGCCATATAATACAATGTAGTTGGAAATATCCGACTCTTCCTGGGGCGAAGCTTTCTTCTCTAGCTTTCTGTTACCACCTGTTCTTTCGTAGTTTATGAACAGATTGTCCTGAGTTACTTCTTAATGAGTGATGTGACAATGCGTTCTGGTAGTTTCTGAGTGAGTAGTGGCCCCTTGATCGCAAGATATAATTATAATGCCAATAATAAAATCAGTAAAAATAACTTACAATTGATGATACATGTGATAAATTAAGTTTTAATGATGTTGACTCAGTTTATATTCCAGTGTTCACTTACATCCCCTGGGTCAAAATCAGCCAGCCCCTCTCTTCACCAGGCCCTTGCATGGTCCGTTTGCAAGCTTCCATCCATGCCTGTACATTTGGGCCCAGTGAGCAAATGACACGTGGCTTTAATTTTCTGGGGCTGCCATAACAAAACATCATAGGCAGGATTCTTCAAGCAGTAGAAATGTATTCTCTTGTGTCTCAGGAGGCAGGACTCTTGGATCTAGGTATCAGTAGGGGTTGGTTTCCTCTGAGACCGCTGTCCCTGACTGTGGGTGGCTGGCTTCCCATGGGTCTTTCCTCTGTGCAGATGTACACCTGTGTCCCAGTTTCTGTCTCTTGTGTGATCTTGTGTGGGGTAAACAGTGGCTCATACGAACTCACTTCACCCTCAGGCTTTCTTAGCAGGTCTTGTCTCCAGGCAGGTCAGAGGCTGACTGTATTCTGAGAGAGGGCTTGGGAGATGATCAGGTATTGTGGGTGAGCCCCACGAATGTGGCTAGTTTTCTTGTACTGTAGCCCTAAAGAGGTGTGTTTCTCTTCTCTACCGCATGGGGACACTGTGACAGGGACCCTGTATGACCCAAGAAATCGGCATAAATAAAGACTGCTAATTTCTTATTAGAGTTGGATTCCTAACTCCCAAGTTGTGAGAACCAAACTGCCATCTGTAAGCCATTCAGCTCATGGCATTTGTTGTATACCCTGGCAAGATACTGGACTCCATTGTAGGTGTGAAAGGGGCAGGGATTCCCGCAGAGCAGGACCATGCTCCTCTCCTGCTGAGGACCAGAGTCTGACTCAGCACTTAACCTTGGGTGGCTCACATCGCTTGTAACTTCAGCTGCAGGGAGCCAGCCCCTCTGGCCTCCATGGGCAGCTGCACACAGATGTGCCCACACACAGACACACATAGACACACGGTTAAAAATAAAACCTTAAGCAAATAAGGCAGCAACCGTATTGGAGAGAAGTGGATAGACTTTGGGATGTGTTTTCTGGTAGGTGGATGGATGAATTGTGGGGTGACGGGAAGAAGAGTCAAGGATCACTCCTAGTTAGACGTGACTGCCTCATTCACTAAGACAGCGGGAGAGATAAAGGTTGGGGGGAGGGCTTAGAATTGGCGGTCTTTCGGGGAATTCTAAGTTTGAGATGCCTTTTCTAATACATAAGTGGGTCTGCCAGCCAGTTAGCTGGGTGTGTGAGTCTGGAGTGGTGTGGAAAGATGTCCGTGCTGGGAATATCAATCCAGAATGTTCCAGCATGCATAAAGAGCCCACAGAATTGGGTAAGCAGTCTCTGCAGAAGACATAGCTGTAGCACGACCATGAGCAAACGGGGCTTAATGAAGGGTCGGGACATCAGTGGAAAGTTAACAATGGCGTCGCAGAAGCCAAGGGAAGGTGGCCGTGGAGAGTTGTGTCACCGTGTAGAGCAGTTAGATTGGGGTGGAAGAGAGGCCACCCGTGTGACAGGAAGGTGATACTCATGGCTCATGCACGCTCTGTATTAGTGGGGGCTGACATCTGAAGTGTGTGTCAAGGGTTGTTCTTGGAACTTGCTTTAAATCTCCGCAGCAAACCTACATGGCTGCCGGTGTCCTGATGTCAAGTGTGGCAATTCTGATTCACAGAGGGAAGGAGGACTCAACTCCTCAAATCCCTTTGAGTTTTGTTTGTCCACTAGCAGAAGTTAATAGAGAACACATCAGTCTGGTTTCACCAGATGTGGCCATCTCTGACAAGTGTTGCCTCCTTTGTGTAATACAGCATTTTCTTCCTTTTTAACTGTTATCAGATTTCCCCAGGAGGCTGATTGGAGGCCTGGAAAATGAAGCGTTAGGTCTCTCAGGAACCTGGCATTGTGTCTACCCATTTGCTAGCTCTCTGGGCAAGGCCCCTAGAGCTGAATGGATCTTGGCTTTCTACTTAGGACTTACATGTCTGCCTGGTCAGGGCTGCGTAATGTCCTCCTCAGGCAAAGTAGAGTGACCCTGGCCATCATACGCCCTCAGCCTTGATGCTGAATGGGGGAGTTCATCTCCCTGAGAATATTTTGACCTGATTCAGAAATAGCACCTGGATTCTTTTTGAGCAAGGAATGGGATGGAAAGAATCTGTCAGATGTGTGACCAATCAGACCTATCAATAAATATAATTTGAAATAGTATTGAATGTCCCTAAACCCTGTGTGGTATGCAAATATCTTCGGATAACATATCGGTGAATGTTTCCATTGGACTAAATGCTTAGCTTTGGGTGACCAGGGACACACAGGAAATGATGTTTAGTGGTTGCCCATGTGTACCTCTGATCCACTCTTACACATGTATCCTCAGAAGTTTGGCAGTTACCTACCAATCCATTATCTCATGAATTAGTTTAGAAGTATGTATAAGGAGCCGGGCAGCAGTGACACACGCCTTTAATCCCAGCACTTGGGAGGCAGCCGCAGGCAGGAGGATCTCTGTGAGTTCGAAGCCAGCCTGATCTACAGAGCGAGTTCCAGGACAGGCTCCAAAGCAATGCAGAGAAACCCTGTCTTAACTGCCCCTGCCCCCCGAAAGTATGTATAAGGCTGGAGACATAACTGAGTTCTTAAGAGCATACACTCCTCCCCAAGAAAATGTGAGTTTGTGTCCCAGAGCCTATGTCAGGCCATTCACAACCTCCTGAGAGTCCAGCTTCAGGGCATATGGCACCCTCTGGCTTCTGTGGGTACCCACAGTCATGTATATTTACCCCTCCTTCATATGTACATAATTTAAAAAACATTTAAAACTCACACACACACACACACACACACACACACACGAGAGAGAGAGAGACAGACAGACAGACAGACACAGAGACTATGAGTGAATGAAACCAGATAGTGTTGACGTGTAATCTGCAAACGTTCGGTGTTGTGGGAAGCCAGGGTTCGTTCATCTTGCACGAAACTGCCACGTGTCCTCCCTGGGTAATGTGTGCCACATCTTAGAGGCGCTCACGTGTGTCCTCTGTGCCTTGTCTCAGGACGTCGTGGCATCGCTGGAACAGCAGTTCAGCCCCATGATGCAGGCCGAGTTCTCGGTGCTCGTCGACGTGCTCTACAGTCCGGAGCTGCTGTTCCCAGAGGGAAGCGATTCCAGGATAAGGTGTGGCGCCTTTATGTCAAAGTAAGTGGAGCCGTGCTGGTGGACGAGAGAGGGAGCCAGCAGCCCGCAACACCCACTTTCTGGTCCTCTCCAGAAAACTCCATGGACAGATGAGCCACAGAGTGGTGTCCCCTGCCTATGTGTCTCTTATTGGTTGATGGATGAAACACTGTTTGGCCTATAGCCAGTAGAGGCAGGAAGATAGGCGGGGCTAGGAGACGGGGAGAATTCTGGGAAATGTAGGCAGAGGGAGCCCACCAAAACAGTCACCACGTACACCGCAAAGAAGTCTGGACCCTTCTCCAGTAAGGCGTGGCTTAGGGAATAATAAAGAGCGCGAAAGCCCACCTCTCACAGCGAGGGCAGTTTCGGGGACAGTGTGCACACAGGCGGGCACTCCCACGTCAGATCCGCACTCAAGGCTCATTAGTCCAATGCTGCGGCCCCTCCTCACTTATTTATCATTTGCAGACGTGGCTGTCAGCCTCCCACCTCCACGGTCGGTTTGTCTACACTGTCCCTGGCCAGGCTTGTCTTCCTGTCCCCATCCATACTCCCCAACACCTTCGATCTCAAGTGCTGACTCTGTGGACGCCTTCTCTAACCAGCTTTAGGAAGTTCCTGCAATAGAATAAAACTTTTTTTCTACTTATTTAATTTTTTTTTGTCTAGTTTATTGGCTTTTGCCAGCACCCCTGTTTACATCTTAGCAGTTCTCGTCACGTCAGATGGCTGTGCTCAGCCTGTTGCGTGTGGGACTCTGTCCTGAAGCCCCAGAGATTGTTTGGTGAATGGCCACACTTAGAGGGGGTTGGGCTTGGAAATCCAACGCGATTTACTTTGTTCTACGCCACGCTGTCCCTTTAGGGAGATGTGTCTCACAGGGTCAGTGAAGGGTCAGCGTCTTAACAACCCAGTCTATGGGAACTGAGTTACATATCCTAATCATTCCCCTTGTTACTGAGTCTTGGGATGGTTCCACCCGCCGCGGTACTGAATGTCTTCTAGAACCCCACTGTGTGCATCAACACGGTAGGAGAAAGAGCCGCGTCCTCGTCTGAATTACCGCAGTGGTCAAGCTGTCGTGATGCTACACTTGCTCCTTCTAATCACAGCAACTGCTGACATCTACCAAGCGATGTCGTATCACACGTGGCTTACTGAGGGGATGGGGGAAAGCCCACTAAACTGTGCTATCACCTACATCCAGGATGTCATGATTAATGCGGTAACAATGAATAGAAAATGATAAATGGCACGATGGCATATCGCATGCTTTAAACCTTTTTATACTAGCAAAGTGGAGGGAAGGAGGACATTAGTGTTTCCCTGTTTCTCAGAGTACCATAGCCCCCGAAGAACTCGCTGAGCTGATCAGCACTGAGACACATAAATACCCCAGCAGGTCTACAAGCTGAGGCATAGTTTTGAGACCTTTGGCGTTACGTGCCTGATTTACTTTGTGCCCTCAACACCATTCCCCACTCCCACGTAGCATATTGTGTGTATTTTGATGACAAATTGGTGTCCCCTTTTAAGGTTTCACGGTTTGCTTTCAGGCTGATTAACCACACAAAGAAACTAATGGAGAAAGAAGAGAAACTGTGCGTTAAAATCCTGCAGACGTTACGGGAGATGCTGGAGAAGAAGGACTCCTTCGTGGAAGAGGTATTCCTCTAACTCTCAGCACCGAAAACAGGCTTGCTTGCTTGCTTGCTTTCCCCTTTTGCATTTGAAATATGGTAGAAGGTGTAAGTCTGGATTGCAATGGGCCGTTGTACAAGCACTTCTTGATAACCGGGTGTTACTCACGTTAGCCACGTTACTCAGTCTGAGGGACACTCAGACTGAATGTTCATCTTAGCCATAGCATTACAGTCTGTCCTGGATGTACATGTCATCGCCTTTGAGTTCCGACAGACTGTTTGGCTGAAAGACTTTTTGTGGTCCTGGGAATTGAACCCTGGTCCTCTGCGTGTGGTGCTCCAACACCAAGTTCCACACCCCAATCACCAAATGACCTTGTGAGATGATGAGGGATTGGGATGCAGTGTTTAGATTTCACTTAAGGTGCAACAGCTTGTGGAGAGTGTCTGTGCATGTTGGCACGTGTTTTTGAGTCAGAATTATGCTTATGTCATTTTTGATAGTATTGTGCCAAGTATTATAACACTATTGTTCTATATAAGGGGGATAGGTGGTCTTTGTTCTTAGCTGTATTAACAGGTGTATAGTTGATATTCAGAAACATATCAACTTATAGATTGTCAGTCGGTTATTAAAATTGACAGTTTCGGGGGTGCTCATTAAATGGCAGCCAGCAGTGTTCCAATACCCACAGTGAGAGGCTTAAATATTAAATATGAATCTTGGAAAGTTTTCCCCTTCTTTTTGAAGGGTAGCCATCTACTTTTATGCTAAGCATCAAATCAATTTTCTATGGAAGCGCCTTGGTGTATTTGTGGAGCATTTCCAAACCCTGCATCAGAGTGGCTGGTGACATGGCTCTGTTGCTACAGATCCTGCCACCCGGGTATCAGCACCTGAGTTCAGCTCCCAGAACCAATGTGAAAAGCTGGGCGTGGTGGCAATCATTTGTAATCCCAGAGCTGGGGAAGCATAGGGCTTCTCGGGATCCCTGGCCGGGCAACCTGGCCTCCTGGGTGAGTGAGTTCCAGATGGGCCGGTGGAGACCCTGCTCAAAACAGAAATGGCTGGAACCAGAGGTGTGACACCTACGCGTCCTGTTAGAATCAAGTGTTTGCTAACCAAAATGCCCTCTGCTTCGGTTCTACAGTTTACACTACATTTGGACAACAAGTAATTAAGATAAATGGGTCAGTGTAATTGTAACTGATGCCTTTTGACACGAGATTGAAGAAAACCTTACACATTGGAGGATAAGTTATTGGCCTTTTAAAATCTGCAGCCATTCGCCTGCTACCCTTAGTGTGGTGCTGCCCCTTAGCCGATTTCACGAATGCACTGGGTCCCCAAGCAGAGCAATTAGGTCAACATAGTTTTCCTGACAAGCCTTCCAGTGTGACACGACAGGTCAGTACCGAGCGCTCTCAAAGAGAGGAGGGGACATGGGGATGGTAGGTGAGAGCGTTTTAGTGTCTTCCAAGCTGCTGGCTCTGAAATTAATCATCTGTTCTCCCTATGCGCTCCCTCTCCATCGACTACTGCACCCTCCCTCCCTCCCTCCTTTCATCTAGAAAACCCCAGTAGTTTACACACGGGCAAACATGCACGCACATACTTATGCCTACAGTACACATTATAAAAACAAAGCAGTGCAGAGGCTGGAGAGATGGCCCAGTGGTTAGGAGCACCGACTACTCTCCAGACACACACACGGTCACAAACACACGTATAGGCAAAACAAACACGCAATCATGAGAGAGAGGGAAAGAGAGAGAGAGAGAGAGAGAGAGAGAGAGAGAGAGAGAGAGAGAGAGAGAGGGAGGGAGAGAGAGAGAGAGAGAGAGAGAGAGAGTCCCCTAGTTTGGCACTGTGATGAAGCACCAGAAACTGACGTAGAGACCATGGAGACCATGTCTGCTTTCTGCCTTGCTCTCTCTGGCTCATGCAGCTAGCTGTCGCTCTTACACATCCTGGTCTGCTTACCTGTTGATGGTATCTGCTACAGTGGGCAGACCCTTCCACTTTATTAGCAATCAAGAAAACGCCGCAGGGACCACAGGCCAGTCAGGTGGAGGGAATTCTTCACTGAGGGCCATTTTTCCCAGGTGTGTCAAGTGGATAGCCTGGACTAGCCAACACAGCACCCTGGCAAGTAGATAACCCTCTAAGAAAGTATTAAAGGTGTGTGTGTGCATGTGTGCGCGCATGCGTGTGCGCGCGTGTGTGCGCGTGTGTGCGTGCATGCGGGTGTGTATGTGTGTGTGCATGTATGTGCGTGTACATGTGTGCATGTGTGTATGTGCGTGTGTGCGTGTGTGTGCGCGTGCGTGTGCGTGTGCGAGGTAACATTGTCAGAGGGATTAGTGAGCACCTGAGTTCTTATTTACCCTGCGAATTCCCGCATCTCCTAAGAACAGAGTAAGACAGAAGTATGAGTATAGGACTCTTTGCTTTAAGCCAGCTTCTCACTGTTTGAAGCTGCTGACACACTGCCCTGGGAGTCATAGGGGACACTGTGGAAGATTCTAGCATCTCCAGACAGCACTGGCGGCCCCTTGTCCACATACCTGATGCTTAGTGATCCTTGCTTGTGGATGGCGGTGTGAAGAGTGTGTGTGTGAACTCCTGTTGGGGGCCATGCTGGTCAGAGCGATCACTCTGCCACTCACGAGGGCTTTGCACGAGAAACCTGGGTTTTCAGTGGTAGGGCAACGGGCGGGTGTTTCGTAATTGTCTGTTCACCGGCACCTCGGTGTCTAAAAACGGCCAAATTTACCAGCTTACAGATGTGGGGGTGAAAGGCTAACATCAGATCAAGGTAGGGTATATGCCATCTGGAGGCTGATGGCCATGTTCGTTTCCTAGTCCTGTGTGTCTCCTAGAGGCCCTCCGCATGCTTTGGCTCATGGGCCCCATCTTGGTCTTAGGGATTCTGTTGCTGTGGAGACTGACACCATGACCAACCACAGCAACTCTTCCAAAGGGAAGCATTTAATCGGGGCTGGCTGTGATTACAGTTCAGAGATTCGGCCCATTGTCATCAGAGGGAAGCATGGCAGTGTGCAGGCAGACACGGTCCTGGAGAAGGAGCAGAAGCAGGAAGAGAGAGAGAGACACCGGGCCTGGCTTGAGCTTTTGAAACTGCAAAGCCCACGCCCCGTGACACTCCTACTCCTGCAGGGACCTTGTCACTCAGACCCCTGCATGCCCTTCTTCTGTCTTCAAACCAATCTCCCTACGTACTCTGTCCTCTCTCTCAGTTTCCGCCTTCTCCACGAGACCCCCGTGTTCTTCTTGGAAGACCCATGATTACACTGCAACCACCTGAAAAAAATCTGCTATAACCCTTGTTCCATATACTTAATTATATATGTAATATATACCTAACTATATATGTAAAGGGCCATGTTTATAGGTTCTTTAACCAGAGAGATCACAAGACACAGGCATGTTTGTATGGGCTTGGCAATTATCTAGCCTGACTCACAATGTGCATGTGTGCACACACACACACGTGTGTAGCTGGGGAGGGGCGTTGCACACTTTTATTTTGTGTGTTGAAGGGTTTGTAGGTTAAAATCTGATCTGAACGGAGACTTACTTGAGATAGTCAAGGCCAGAAAGAGTCCAGCAGGATGAGAGGATGGGGTGGAGTTGAAGTAACTCTCCACAGTGTCAAGTCAGGAGACAAGATGCTTAGGTTTCTTCTCTCCTTTCTCCCCAGTGCAGGAAGATGGTAATGCTATCTGTGAAGCCAGGTGGAATATTAAAACAGCACATACAGGATGAAGAAAGGGGCTGATAGATAGTAAGCTTTTAATAAATGCTACTTACAATTGCCTTTTAAAAACCAGCATTGAGAAGCAAACTATGGGTAGCATGCCACTTCAGAATGTGCTGTAGTCTGCAATTTCGTGATCTGATTTCTCAGATATGCATAGAAATGAAACCTTATTCTTGATAAAAACTCATCTAAGTGTGGGAGCATCATGCATTTCTTCAGCAAGCTGCTGAAGAAACCCTTGATGATTTCAGTCCAAGTCGAATGGGGCAGGAGGAAGACAGAGCTGAGGGGTTTTGAAGATTGAATTTTTGTAGACGTTCAGTTATGCTCAGACTTCCCTCGGCTCCTCATGTCATGGGCTGAGTTGTTTTCAGCCAGAGCACTATATGTAACAGCTCTAAATGGTTCGATGTGTGAGGCCATTGTCCATCACCCCCTGGGGCAGTGTGGCATTGGACAAACAGCCTAACAACTAACAGATAGCTGTGATCTCTACAGAGGCCCAACTGGGACAGATGGCATTTACACATTGGACCTGGATAGCAGGCAGAAGCTTCTGGATTTGACAGCTTTCTATCTCAGAGTGATTTGGGGGGAAATTCTGTAAGAATTTATGTTTTGGGTCATTTTAAAGAGGCCCCCCCTTTAACTCTCAAATTTGCTGTTACTTGAGTTAATTAATAATAATTGATTGTTTTCTTTGTCAGGGAAAAAAATCCCATAACTAACCTTTCATTTTTGATTGTGACAAGCACCAAAAAGATGTCAGAATAATACTAAACATCTGAGCTCCTACCCCCAGATGCCATGCCTGGCAGTCCCCAACAAAACCCTCCCCGTGAATTTACAACTAACTCTGCTAGTAGGAATATATTTGCCAGGTGGTGGTGGCACACGCCTTTAATCCCAGCACTTGGGAGGCAGAGGCAGGTGGATCTCTGAGTTTGAGGCCAGCCTGGTCTGCAGAGTGAGTTCCAGGACAGCCAGCCAGGGCTCCAAAGGGAAACCTGCCCCCCCCCCAAAAAAAAGAGAAAGCACTTGCAATCAGTCACGTCTGTGCGTGTCCTCGGCCTGCTTTCTAGCAGCGGGAAGATAAAATACATTTCGGAAGAAATGCAGTGGTGCATGCCCATGACTTAAAAACGTTTTCCCTATTTTGCAAAGGTGAACAAATGCCAGGTTTAGTGCAGGTTTGGGTGCACTTCTGCTCTTAGTGTGTGAGCTTACGAGATGAATA